TGAATCACTGAAAATAGAAATTAAACCTAAACACATGATTAATACATTTGAGGCCTTACACGCTACGAAATGCTCGTTATTTTACCAAAGAGTCCGTACGCGCTCAAAATAAACCGTGCTTCCTAAGCGTCAAATACTAAATTGTACATATGTATATGCACTGCATATCTGTTTGACATAAGAAAATATGACAATTACATGTCAAGTTCGGTATTTCAAACTCAAAGCGGAAAGCAAAAGGCCCCAGAGGAATTCTCTAACGATCCGCATTCCGCGTATTGGGAGGAAGTATGCACTGGGTGCCCGCACTTGTGAATACTGACTTCGAAGTAAATTTTTTTAAGCACACTACTCCAAATTTTATTAATGTTTAGGTTTGGATATTGAGGTAACTGCTAACTATAAATAGAAAACCTTACACAGGCCAAACTTCTGCTCAGCAGAACGCCTGTGCAAAGTCCCGTTCAAAACGGTCATAGCACGAGATTCGAGTCTTAATAGCGGCCATACAAACAATATATTACAAATTCTGTTGGTAGTTTCTGATAGACTACTATATTAACTAACTGTGAATAAAAAAATAAAAGAAACAAAGTGGTTTTTTTTTTTTTTAGAAAATCGACTCCAAACTTGACAGTTTTTCGAAATGTTTGTTCTTCAGACACATGTAGCGGCTTATATCCTCATTGAAAAATATTGATAATATACTCAAAAGAAAGCACTTAATCAGAGCTTTACGGTGATATAAAGATTATAAAAAAATATGTTGATTAGGTCACACAGCACAGCTTGCTGAACTTCGTCAAATATCGTCGCAGAGAGGCAGTTTGGCAAACAAAAAAAAAATCATTAAGAAATTTATGACCCAGACGCTTAATTAGCATGAAAAAGCCTATGTCTAGAGTGTTCCCAAAAACTTATATTGATGTAGCGTAAAAAGTTGGGAAAAGGGATGGAGTGAAATATGGCACCTCCGATAAGCTGGAAAAACGTCAGTTTCCACCTTGGCCGCTTCAAGGGTCCATAACTTGAGAACAAAAGATGCGGCGAAATTGCCATTTGCCTCTTCTTTTATTATAGACCATTCCAATTAGCGCTCTCTGGGCGGCGCCATTCTGTTCGACAGCAGCGCCCTCTCCATACATCCGGGAAATTCAGCGGGTTCGGCGGGGTAAAACGAGAGAGAGGACACGCGCCCGACTCTGCTAGCAGACGAAAAACCGGGAGGTTGCCATCCTCCACCTTTGGGCTGTACCGGCGGGCTGTACGGAACATCGAACTCTCGCTCATGGCTGCCGTTGTGAAGTTGCTCGCGCTCTTATAATAGTTATGTCTACTCCAAAATGAGCCTAGAGCTCTCTGTTGTTCTATTTCGGTAAATGATCAACTAGCATATCTTTTTTCCGTTACTTAAACAGCAGTTGAGTCAGCCGGCAGCACTACCCTCAACTACTGCGTGTATTGCGGCAGGAGAGCACGTTTTTATTTATTATTTCAGACTTCCACTCATGGTCGCTAAAGGCCTACACCAGTACGAAATTTGTATAGTAAAAAAGGTACAGTAACCGGATTTACTTTTCGCCGGAGAGACCGGCCAGTCTGACACAGTTTTCCCTATTTTTTATTTTATTTGCTCAGGTAACAGCGCAATCGGACCCGGTTAGTCTTTTTATCTAGCATAGTATTACACGATAACTGGCACACGAAAATCTGCGCATCTGCGCTTCAAATTACCACAATGACGCGATTTTAAACAGAGTTTGTACGCCAGCCGGATGCTAGGTACAGCCCACTCGGCGGAGCAGACGAGATGAGGGCGAGAGGGGGAGCGCATTTTTTAAAATTTTTTTATCCTCTCTGCTATGACCCTAATGGAACGGTCTATAGGAATTGCCCCAAAACATATATTTTTTTCGTCAAAATTTAAAATTCGACCTTATATCCGAAACTGAGTTGAGATAAAATCACCCATATATATATATATATATATATATATATATATATATATATATATATATATATATATATATATATATATATATAAATGACATCTTCAATTTGTGGGGAGCCGAATATATTATATATATATATATATATATATTACAGTTCCACACCCAAGAATCGGAACCCTGTAAGAGATCTAAAAATACAGTGTACATGCACGCAAACTAATGTGGTCATGAAGAAGGAAAATATTGCAAGTTACAAAGCCTGGCATTTCGACTGAACTAAATGGCTCGAGCGTTACAACTTTGTTGAAAAATTAAAAGGGAAGAAAATGTTAAAACTTCCAATTAAGAAGCCCAGTTCTTCGGCAGAAACTTAGGGGTTGCCTGGTAGCTGACTCTTCTGCGCCCATTTCTCAAGATGGCACTTGACAGAAGCGTTTTTTTAGCTATATAATCTATATATGTTTAAAATAAAGCCCCTGGAAAGTTTTTGCGTATGGCGCGTGTTTGTGTCGCTTTCTCGGGCGACGCATACGCGCGTGCCGGGCTGTGGAACAGCACACGCTGGGCTGTTGCTTGGAATAGGGTGCCTTCATGTGCGCTTTGCTTAGGGTGAAGACGTCTGACCATTTTGTTCCTGACGCTTTTGTTTCTTTTTTGCTCTTGAGCGCAAGCAAACGCGTCTCCCGGGCGGCACGAACTCTTGGCTTTGACAGTGCCACAGCGGCATTTTGAAACCGGCGATTTGTATTTTTCTCGAGAGCGCATCGTGTACTACAATCTCGTCACCCTAAGCAAAGTGCACATAAGGGCACCCTAGCTTGGAATGGTGTACACATTATTCTAATACTTGCAAAACCCCAGCCCAGCGTGCGATCTCCACAGCCCAGCACGCGTGCGTTTTAGCTTCGGAAAGCGAGCAAAGCGAGAGACGCAATCGCTGAGGGAAGCTCTGCCTTCAGCGCCAGCCGGCTGATTTCCGTGGAGCTTTGGTTGCGCGTGCACGCTTTTGTAGGAAAAGGCAGAAAAATTGTGCTGAAGTTTGGCTGAAGGCAGTGTGATGAATGTGGTATATCTGGGGCACCCTTCTCCCAAATGGACGGTGCGCGTGGCATACCGTGGAGGAGCCTTTCGACTAGCGAGCCTAGCCCATTGTCCATCGCCGCTCCATCGGAAGAAAACACGCACAGACAGACAGAAGTAAAAGCGCTCGAGCTGAGAACCGAATTTCATACCTAGTGTTTGGGTTTGTGCATTTAGGTTGACTGTACGCTGTCAAGCGTACATACAAAGCCTTGTTTATGTTTGATGAAGTAGCTGTAAGGTAAACAAGGTCAGAATGCGTCCGGAGAGCCTGTTGAACCGCGTTTTGGGGGGCATCGAGTTTAGTCGTTGAGTGCTGCTTTCGCTCTCGCTGTGTAGAGTTCTGTGTTAATTCTATTTTCCCCTGTGAACCAGTATTTTCTCCGTCCCGCGATCCATGCACCTCCAGAGAAATAGCCTAATGAGCGTCGTCTTTCCTACCAGCGAACACTAAATAAGCTTTACGGCACGTGTAAAATTCGTTGAAAAATCTCAGGAGCTTAGCTCGCAATATTTTCGTGATCTACTGTATTCGTGAGGTTCGGAGACCTCGAACTTCGTGAGCTTAGGCTCCGAAAAAATCCGACCTTTCGAAGTTTTCCATAATTTCGAATTTGCTTGAGCTTCTCAAGCAAACTTGAAATTATCAACTTTCGCAAACCTCAATCGTAAAAAAAAAAGAAAAAAATTAAACCGTCGAATTCGAAATTTTAAAAGTTCGATGACTTCGGACTTTACAAATTCAAATCCGGGCAGCTTCGAAGGTTCTAAACTTAGCAAAATTGAACCCTTGGGAGGTTTGACATGCTCGCAAACTGCCGAATTTGACCTTCGGGAGGTTCGAGACATCCCTACTTATAGCTTCTTGTACATTATTTTATGGTTATCATATGTTCATATATGATCCTATTGATTGTTCGCGTTTATTAAATGAAAAGTTTTCTCATAGAAACAATACTTTTCACTGGGGCAAGATTTCGTAGCACAACGTAACGTAAAAGAAAAATGGGGCTGTGAGAAGGAGCCTCTGTGATTCCTTTCCGTGACGCCAGGACGTACGAGTTACAATTGTGGCTACTTATCACAAGCTTCCAAAGACAATTTCAATGCCGTGTCAGAAAACCGCGGCAGACGCTTCCGAAAGACTGCCTACAGTTGGCAGCTGTCCACCGTGCCCCCGCAATGCCGGACTAAATCCGCAACGTCTCGGCGCAGTATATGCCTTTGGTTGGATCAGAAGGCGAAAACGCGTCCACAGAAAAAGGTTATGAGCGCGGTGACGTTGCACTTTCGAGGCTTTGTGATTGGCTCGTCGTCTCCTAGCGTTGGCCGCGCTCCGACGTTCGGTATCTTACAAAAATGACTCGACCGTTTCACGATGTCAGTTGTTCCGCTACTGTGCAGTGGTTCCGAGCTTCTAATTACTCGCACGTGATACTCGAAAGGAAAAGTTCTGAAACCAAAAAGGGTTCAAGTTGAAAGACTGGCATTACTTCTATTGCCTCCGATTAACGATGAGTGCATTTTTTAAGATATCATATTCAGCTGGCTTCCAAGCTTGAAAAGCGGACCACAGCTACCGAAAGCAAGAGCATCCTATCTAGAAGATAGTATTGTTGGGGTGATTTTCGGCCAGCAGTCAAGAGGATAGGACATGATGGAGACTGAATATAGAATACAGGTTATGAAGTCCGGGTCTCCACGAGGACCTGGCGCACAATAGTTTTGCCAGCCTTTACCACACCGTCTTTATTTGATAAAGACATGCATATATCTGTCACAAATATTAGCCCTGTTTTTTCTTCAAAAACACGTTGTTAAACCTTCCAATCTTTGATATCCTGAGAGACATTACTATTCAGACTAATAAAAATGAGAAGAGAAAATCGGTCCTAAAAACAACGACAAAATAGTGAGTTATATGTACACAGGTCGTTACCTATACAATTTATGAACTGGGGTACTCACATGATAGTCTGTGCAGAATAAAAAATATCTTGACAATTTTCATAATGGCTTAATGAGAATAACAAGTCAGGTGGATCGGCTTGCTGCGAAACGACGTTACTGTCCCTTCGTTATAAAATATGTTCTACCCGGATATTGCTTTTGTAAGCCTACTCTTAAAAGGTCGAACTGACCGCAGAAAAGCACATAAGCACTCACTCGCGAATTACGAAAAAATGACATTTTAAAATAAAAAAACGTCAGATATAAATGCCACTATATATTCTTCCCCGAGACACTCTCACTTAAAGAACACACGTGCCCAATAAGCTTTCGAGTTGAGTCGATAATTGGAAGGGGCTAATAATTACTCAGTAGTGAGAAACAACAGAAAAAAATAATCCTTATTCGAAGGAAGTCCAAAAGATGAATTGTGCCCAATGCAAAATGATTTTCAAACCTATGATGTCGACAATGAGAACAGCAGAAGAAACATTCACAAAACGTTGAGATCATGAGTTAAGTTGTTGGTACTCCCGGTGGCGTGGGAGGCAGGTTCCGCTCCAATAGTCTGGAGCGTGGTGGCACGAACGTCGCTGAGTGACGGGTCGACGCACTGCTTGTAGAGAACTATGTGCTGTTATTTACACTAGTTGCAAGTCTCAACTTGGGAGACTATCTGCCTCGTCTAGAGTCTCGAGCCCAGTCTCCGGTCTCCCTCAATCGGATCCAAACTCCAATCCAGATCACTCCCTGCCAATCCTCTCGGCACTCCTCTTGTACGCTCGCAGGGTCCTCCTTTCCCACCAGGGACCGACCAATCCCTTCGAATTCCGCCGCTCCCACGTGGTACACTGTTACGCAATGGTCGTCAAGCTGTCAGCCTGGCGCTCCAACCGCCAAAATGAAATTCCTTCTAGAGTCGTTCCCTGCATTTTCCCCAGTCTGGTTGGTGTCAACAGCTAAATTATTAGACCGGGCAAAAAGCGACAATCTGACACTAAGCGGTGGAACTTTCTATACACAGGCACACTCGGTTAAAAGGCACAAGCACCTCCAAGCGCGGGCTCTCCCAGTCTCTGTCCGAGCAGACTCCCGAAACCCGAGACGTTTCTTAACGACCGCGGGGGTACCGCTCCAACCTCTCGGCCACTCTGCCCCCGCAGATGCTCCCTCCAAAGCGCCGACACCAACATAGGAAGCTAAAAAAAAAAAGAAAAGGACAATACCGACGCAACTCTGGATAAATAAACGTTTCTAACAAAAGAAGACACCTTAAACAATAAACAGGATTTCTAGATACTAACTTGAAATGCTATTGCACTCGTCTTGAACGCGCGCGACAAGCGCCACCGCGCGGCTGCTTACAGAAGCCCTTCGCATAAACATCGTGCATAGCAGCCGACCTTAGTTTCTAGTAAATGTTAGCTTATCTGTGCACAGGGTTATGCAAAACATTCTTACAAAAGAGCTGGACATGAGCTGGCAAGAAAGGTCCCAGTACGTCAATTCGATACATCAAAAAGCAGAGAAAAATCTGCTAAGATGAGAAAAGAAAACTTCTCATATAGTCTTTATCAAAAACAGGCACTGGTGAATATCGTTCCGTAGTGATTTTCAAGATGATCGAACACACAGGCGCTTCACAGGGGCTTGTTCGAGTGCCGATAAACAAAGATTGAGGAGTCCTGCGCAACTGCACCGTTTGGTCGCGACGATGGCTGCGAAAAGTCACGTCGAGGTTGTTGGACGTAGGTGTCTTGTTTACGCACCGTGGGTTGAGTGAAAAGAAAAGCATTCCGAACACAATAGACATCTCAGAATTTTGTTCCGAACGCTTTTGTTTATTTTTTGTTCCGGAGCGCTGGAAAGCGCGTGTTCATTCAAGAGCCCTTTTCATGTACACGGCAACAACCGCATTCGGTTATCGTATGTTTTTCTTTCCTTTTTTGTTAGGAAGCGCGTGCAGTGGGCGTTGGGTACAACAAAAACCCTAAATATGGGGGGAGCAAGTCGTCTGCTTCTTTTTGCAGGAGTTGCGTGACGTCAGAAATACGGCGAGCTCTGATTAGCTCTGATTGAAGGATGGTGGGTACACCTCAAATCAAGCTGCTTCGAGGTCTACCCACTACCCTTTAATCAGAGCCAATCGGAGCTCGTCACCTTATTAAGAGCTTCTTATGTGTAATTTTCACAGTTTATGGAGTATATTGCTTCAAATCTATTAATTACGAACGAAGGTTCTCCCTCATTTGGCATGTTGATTTGTAGCGTAATGTTTAAGATTTGGCTTAAATGCTCTACTTTCGCAGTAGACGTTGTCTACTTATGTGGGTATAGACCTTTTTCTCAAGGGCGCCGCCATCTTGAATTGTGGCCACTTCCAGTATGGGCGAAAACGGATTCCGGAAATAATGTCCCCGGAAGAAACGCCCCCGAAAAAAAAAAGGCCCCATTTGGAAAGTAGGAAAAAATATTCCCAAAAGGTTCTCTATCGCTGTGTTTTCCGCGATTCTCATGACCTCCGGGCGGTCCAGTCATTATCCGGTCACAAATGACCTGACCCAGCTAGATGTAGAAAGAGAGACTGGAAGTCACACAAGGAAACCGAAATAATCTATTGTGGGGTATCTTGGAAACCAAATTATTGTGTTTGCCAAAACCAAATCAGTGTTTTTTTTATTTTTTTTTTATTGTGAAATAAACATTTGTAAAACTTCTAGGCAAAACCAAACTACTGTGTTTAGGGAAATTTGAGAGGTACTCGTGTACCATTTCCGAAGAGGTAAAAGGCGTGACACTGTTATCATATACGCCTATCAGCTGGCTGGGGACAAGAGTATACGAAAAACGGTATACACGAGACCGCTAGTTTTTTTTGTTTTTTTTTCTTTTTCCATAGAAACAAAAGGTTGTCATCGAAGTTATCATAGGCACTGAAAGTGTTCATTTAACGATATAATGCAGAGGGTAAACATTTCCTTCCCACTAATACTCTTATTAAGTAAAATGTAAAAATGCCCCGATGTTGTGTTCGCCCTAACTGTGTCGCGATGTGTACCTCGGGGAATCGTATATTTCCTTATTTGCTGGGGCCGTTTTTTTTCCTACTTCCCGCAGGGTGCCTTTTATCCCAAGGGCATATGGCCGGACCACCCGAAGGCCATGAGGATCAGGGAAACCCAGATATAAAAAATCCTAAGGGGACATTTTGTTTTCCTCCTTCCCATCTGGGGCCTTTTTTCGGGGACATTTTGTCCGGGGACTTCGTTTTCGGAGACATTTTTTCCGGAGACATTTTTTCCGGGAACATTTTTCCTACACCCGGCGAAAATATTATTTTGCCGTCGCCACGCCAATAGAATACATTTAGGATATAAGCGTAACCGCCACCCATTATCGTTTTGCCTCCCCTCTCTTTTTTTTAATATTTGTAGGTTGAAATGTTTCATTATTTTTTGTCGCCCATACCGCATACGCCTATCCGGTGGCTGGGACGAGAGTATACGAAAAAACGGTATATACGCCACAGCCGAGTTATAAATATGTTTCAGTAATTTTTGATATGATAACCACACAGGTGTCAGAACGGAACGTAGCAGAACAGCATCTCGCGATTTCTTCAACAAGGGCTGAATCTTGTGCAGCTTGAAAAAAGTCTGGCCCTTAAGAATTCGAATGAATTGATCAGTATCCTGGAAGGAATTCATGGAAAGAGATGTGTGGTAGCCTCCGTGGACATAAAGGAGTTATATTATTCGCAAGAGAAGACACGTCTAATGCAGAGGGTTCGTGAGGCTTTGGAATTGAATTTGGTTCATTTTCAATTTAGCTTAGAAATACCGGTGGATAGTTTTTTTTTGTCAATTCTGGATCTATATCTCCAGGCAACGGTAGTCGAGTACAATGAACGCAAATTCGTACAAAGAGATGGCGTATGTATCGGTTCATCGATTGCTCCCAATGCTAGCAGAAATATAGCTTAACAACACGGATGCTGCCGTAACGGATAAATTTAATTGTATTTCATCGAGTACGGGCTTTGTAAGGTGATATGTCGATGACATTTTCATCTGCTCATTTCGCGAAGAGGATATACTCGAGTTGGAACGGACAATGAGGGGAGCGGCGCCGGAACTTAAGTTGACCTTAGAAAAGGCCGACAATGGTATTTTACAATTTCTGGACTTGCCCATTCACGTGGAGGTATGGGGGTTATGTTGGGAGTGCGGAAAAATGGCCGCAAAACCCGTTTTGAGGAGGAAAAGCTGTCATGCTAAATCAGTAAAAGCAGGTGTAGTATGATCTCTAATCGGCAACGCAATGGATAAGTCGTGTGCCTATTTTATGGGTTGTGAGGTAGAAAGGCAGTGGTCAAGGTTAGAAGACGCAAGCTATGACTGTGTGCACATAAAAAGACAATTACAGCAAGAAAGCTAAGCAACGACCAGAAACGGAAGCGAAAAGGCATTATGCGGTTATTCCGTATTTTCATGCAATTTCTCATAACCTTAAAGCATGCGCAAATACATTTGGGATAGATGTAGCGTTTAAGTCCAACTTTGAGCTGAACCGTTTGATACCGTTTCAAGCGAGTCAGGAAGTGTGTCAGAAAGCGCATCGTGATAAGTCGGTTGATTGCAAGGAAGGGGTGGTCTATGAAATACCATTGGAATGCGCTTTCAGGTGTGTGGGACAAACGACAAGGTGTATTAAGGATAGATTGGTAGAGCACAAAAGAAATGTAAAAATAAAAGCACCCAATTCAGAGATTGCTAAACACAGTAGTAAGTGTAACGATTGTACGGCACATTGGTCGCAAACTGACATTGTGCACAGAGAACGCAACAACACTAAGAGGCTCATAGGAGAAACAGTTCGTATCAAATCCAACGGTAATTGTATCAGCCATGCTTCGATGCAACTCGGAAGTAGTTCCAAAAAGTTTCTTAAATTCTAAATTTTTTTTTGTAATAGTTGTAAGTGAACGTGGAATTAGTCATGTTGCGGGCAGGGGTTCAGTTGTAAGTCATATCAGTTTTCGTTTAGATTTTGTTTACAGAA